TCTCTCTCTCTCTCTCTGCAAAATGCTAAAACGATATATGTGTGTCAGAGGCTGAAAATAAAAATAAATGCATCAGCTGAACGGCTCTTCACAAGATCGCTGATAAAACGAATTAGAGAGAATATCGGCCGGTGACGGATCAATCGGAGCACCCTTAATAAGTTTATCCCCCTACCTGAGTGCCATTAATCCATGTGGTTAATTTATTCAATATATAAATTAACAAATTAACGTATGTATTGAATAAATCTGGTGTTCACTGCCAGTGTATTTCAATTGTTTTCACAGTTACTGTTGACAGTATCCTTTGCTGGTAACTGAAGCATGATGATGTTTTTGTAATTTGGCAACTTAGGGAATGATCATATTTAGCTGATCTTAACTTTGTAAGTGTTTTAGTAGCATAAACCCATCACAGGTGGGATGTTAACCTCAGTCTCTGGTGTGAAAGTCCTGTGTGTTTTGAGGTCACACTACCTGAATTGGAAAATATCTTGCCAGTTGAGGTGGCTATTTGATTTTGTAACAATATTTTTTGTATGGTAGGTATAAGTTTACTGTAATGCACTTAAGTATCATTTGAATTAACCAGCCATACAAGAACATATACAGAAACTGAAACTGTACACGGGAAGAGTACAAACATAACATTTGGACCGTTTTCTCATTTCTCATTTAATCATTTCTTACAATACCTTCCATTCTTTCTTCTGATGTCCTTCAGGTTATGCACCAGTCACAGGGATGTGCCACCCAGTCCGGAGCTGCACCCTCAACCATGAAGACGGCTTCTCCTCAGCCTTCGTTGTGGCTCATGAGACCGGACATGTGTAAGTTCTTGTTATTTTCTTCCTTATTTGTCCGTTAAGGTCAGTGTCTCCTAAACACACACATTCCTCTTGCCAAGGTGACATTGTGTTGTATTGTGAGGGAAATCATTTTCAGAATACCACAGCTGCACATGTTGAGTGGGAACATCTTCCTCTGGCTTTTTTCCCCCGTGATCTCTATCTTAAGTGACACAAGGGACCTTTAAGCAGATTGGCCTTTAGCACACTGACAGTGAACATGTTGGCCTTTATGGAATGTTATGGTGTGTTTATTGAACACATGTCCAAAAGCACAAGAACTCAATCATGTACCTTTTCCCCTTCGCAACCCATCTTCCTGCAGCATATTTCACTTCTGAATTACAGATCACAATAACACCAATGTCAGAGATAGGACATATTGAATGATGAGTAAATGCACTCACTGAACAACATATATATTACATTTAGATTCATGTTGCAAGGCAACCTCCGAATTCCGCAGGAATGCAAATCTTGCACATGACCATCAAAACATGCAGGTTGAACTTGACTTGTTCATGTATGTGATACAGAAAAGGTAAAGAAACTGGAAAAAAGACAAATCTGGTAAGAATTATGGATGATAGGTTAATGCAGGCTGTGTCCAAGATCCCTCACTGCTACTGTTACTGCAGGGAACTACATTCAACCACCGCCATTTTATGTAAATGTCTGAATTGTTATGAAATGTATGCACTATATAGTATAGAGGGAAAAAAAGTAAAAGAAATAACATGAATTGTCTTCAGAAGTCTCTGCAAACAAACACACCAAAGTAAAAAAATAGCTACAATGTTAATTACAAAAACAATTGTCAGTGTGAAATTTTTGTGCATTTGATTCATGTGGAAATTACAGTCATGTGACAGTACACCCATCACAAAATGATGATAATTCACATAAATATAAATGTTCTGCTCACTATAAAATAGACTATTAGTCTATTATACAGGTTAACTCACATATTATGAGTGACACAGCCCATGTTCAGAGTCATGTTGCTTGGCAACCCACAGTATGAGATAAATCAATTATCAGACAAATTCTTATACAACTAAAAAATTTACATCCATTAGCGGATATTTGCAAAGTAATAAGTCCAAGAAACACACCAAATAAGCCAGAATTGGATAGCACTGTGGATGGAGTATAAGAGAGCTGGAAACAGTCGAGCAGAGTCAGCCTTGATGCCAATATGTCCTTGTGGCCAACCACTGAAACTTCCCTGCAGCCTAAAAAGCCTTTTCCTCAAAGACTTTACCTATTATAAAAGAAAGGTAAAACTGGACATCTCCAACTGCAAATTATTAGTAGTCATTAATACTCTTAGTGTTGTTAATGTTTGTATTAAGTAACTTTTTTATATTTGTACAACTTAGAAATTCTAGATTTTCTTGGGCTGCACAACATAGGAGTAAAGCCGACAAAGAGAGAGACATTTTTTGCATAAAATATAAATTGACTCTGATGGAATGAAAGTGCACCCTCTTGTATGATAAGAAGTATCGAATATACTGTATCTAGAGAGAAGATACCGTGTCTTTTAGCAGGAGCAGCAGCTGTTTGACAGAATCCACCAGCTGAGACAGCAAGGATCTATCCTGCTGAAATGTCCCTGAGCAAGACACAGAATCCTTAAACTTTGCGGTTGTTGCTTTGCTGCTGACCCTGGAGGCAAGTGAACATGCAGTTTCATCTTCAGGGATCAATAGACTTTCCCAGGGAAAAAAAAATCATATGAAAACAATGTGGAAACCAAGAGCTGGGCTGTACACACACACACACACACATACAAACACACACACACAGCTTTCTAGTGCTGAGAGGAGATCATGGAGAGGAAATTCAATTCCAAAAATTATTTGAACTCAGTTTCAGGATTAAATCCTAAATTAGCTGTTGGTATTCACAAATCCTGAAAAAGTCTCTGGGAACAGTTAAAATCGTATGTGCCTCCTAAATGGCTGCATGAGGCAGGGACAGGAAGAAAGATTCTTAAATTAAGTTGCAGTGAATATTGTGCTTCGTTGGCACTCAATACGTACTCAATAATCAATAATAATAAAGGTTTTTTAACAGCCTCAGTTCAGTTGATGTTTCACTGGATATGTGCAAAATGCACACAAATTTGGGTATATGTGGGATCTCTAAAGGGATATGTTGTATCTCAGTGTCATCGTCATTAAATATCTTTAGTTTTAGTCTTTGTCAAATTTGGTCAAATTAGTAAACACAAGCATGAGGAGGCTAGATTTATTTATTGAGACTGGAATAATTGTGTTTTTACTGTAATACCTGTTCTGAACTTCGTAAATCTTTCCCTTGACAGATACCCTAATATTATTATATTATTATAATACCCTAATATTATTATTTAAAAACTAAACTAAAAAAAGAAAACTGAAACAAAACTGAATTGAAAACAAAAATTAAAACCCAAATAGAAATAAAAACTGAAATGAAAAATACAAAACTGTAACTGGTTTAAACAAAGAAACAAATGACTTTCCTGCTTCCCAGCCTCAACTGTCGCACCACAATGGCGCTTGAAATTGTATTACCTGGACAACAGCAGCTTTGTCCTTGCAGATAAGACAGCCAGCTGTTGCATGACTTTCCATAAAAAATCAATGTCTACCTCTCTTGAAACCGTCTGTGCTCCAACCTTTCTTCAAGGTTTTACAGATGCATTTTGCATCCAGGTGCATCTGTGGGGGCCATGTCAGTCCTGGGATTTTTGATGGAGGAAAAGCAAAATTGGATCATAAGGGCCCTACAAATATAATGTTCAACTTTCAGACCAGGAAGAATTATATTGTGACATGAGCTGTGGGGGAGTTCTCCCGTCTCCTCATTTGACTCCCAAAATGTCACCTTCAGGGACTACAAACAAAGGATAAGAAGTACAAGAGCAGGCACATACCCTCTTTGTTTGTAATTAACCTGTTACCATGGTTAGGATCTTTATTTCATGTGACGTCTTGAAAGATGTCATAAAGTAGTATCAATCATTATTTCCTCAGGTTACAGTGTTGTCTGAGAGGGAGAGTGAGGAATTCCAGGAATAGTAATGACTCACCTGGCCTAATTACTTTCAGTATGTTTACATACATATACCTTGTTTTGAATATTTTAAAAACCTGAATATATAGTCCATTTAAACACATATGAAGTACGCCCTACTTATATTTGAAACTTATATTATGCCATTGTAATACAAAGTTTAAGCCAACAGAGGCTCAAAAGCCTCCTCAGAGGTTCTTTGTAGTGGAATCCGAAGGGATGTTGATTAAATCAGCAGCAGTCAGACATCAGACAGAAAGGGTGACAGTGAAGAGACACGACACACTGAGAGAAAAGCAACAAAGAGGAAGTCGTGAACAAGATGTCTCAGACACACTCACCCACACTGCAAGTCTGCACATTGTGTTGACAGCCGGGTTGAGTCTGTGAGCATACTTGGTCCTTTTGTTGTATAAAAGCTAAAAAGGCCAGCGATTTCTATTGTTGTTCCTCTGATTTTAATAGACCACACACTGATTTAGAAAAGCACTTGAATATTGACTCAGACTTAAAGACTTTATTAATATTGACTCAGACTTTAAGCAGACATCTGCCACCCCATCAGAAATGAGTCTTTCTTAAGCTTAAACTAACTAAATATCTATATTGTTAAAAAATGAAAGTCATTATATGAATAGAGGTAGAGGGATTGTCTACTCCTACATGCCAAGAAGGTCTTAGTCAAAAATATATAAAAGTTGTAAATGAAAACAGTAACAGTAAGTAACAGTTAATTTCAAATTACAAAACAAAATGCACATCAACAACAATTTCACAAGCTGATACCACAGCTGCCGAATTGCTTCAACATTTCATGCATTTCTAAAAATAACTGAATAGGAATTTGTGTTGGTGACAGTGGAAAACACAGTATCGACACCTCAACATGCTGACACAAGTATATATTGATGCTATTTGTATGTTAGCACAACATGACCTCTCACTGAAAGCAAGGGCAGTACAGGATGTACTGCAGTGCATACTGGACACATCAGCTTGTTCTTTTTCTCAGTTCAGTATTTTTTTTCTCAAACAGTATTGTTTGAGAATAACAATGAATGCATCCTTAATAATCCAAAATGTTTTTTCCAATTATTATTAAAAAAAACTATATATCTCTATAAAACCTCTAATACAATATAACATACAGCCTTCAACTTTCCAATATAGACTTCTAATGTCATTATAGCAGCGTCTTATGTAATGTAATGATTGCTAAAGTTATACAAAACATCAAGAAATTCATTGGAAACTCCTTCATTTCAAAGTTGCGGGTATTGATCTTATTTTAGTTATACATTATCCATGCTTTGTCTCTGTTTTATAACAATATTTTGAAGTTTGAAAGTTTATTCTTGACCTTGGAAAGTTTTGCCAAAGTAGCCCCAACTTCAGGTCCACTAACTAGCTTTTCCTGAAATTTTCAACCACATCGTCATCAGCGAATGTAATTGCTCAGTTGCCATGGAGTTGGATATGTTGACATGTGAGCTATGTAGTCATATTTTATTAATTACACTTTCAGGGTTAGGATCTGTGTAATATGGTTGAAATCACCAGAAAAAACAAGTAAATAGATATTACAACCATAAACTGTCCCCCGTTGAGTTTCTTCGTCATAGATTTTGAAAATATTCATCTTTGTCCCAATTTTCTGTTCCTTAAGTCAAGTACTTTAAGTCCTCCTATAAAATCCTAATAACACCTTAATAGGATTTCTGGATGCACTGTAGTGTGGCAGTTAAAGAAGGATGGCTTGTGGTTTGCTTTGGTAAATGTCACTGCTCAGGTGGTTCTGGTAAAATCATTTGTTGGTTGCTCTATGGAATTAATGACTATTAAGCTTTATGGCCATACCAGCTCCTAACAGGCCACACATACATTAAATGCCTTTGGTTGCCAAACAACAAGAAAAAGATGCAGCAACTACTCCAGAAAACTAGCTAACCGCAAATTAAACCTCAATAATTCAGGGTTGAGCGTTATTACACATTGTCCATTACGGTGTCAGGCTCATCTCTGCCCTTTTGAGATTGTCAGCCAATCATAAACGTCAACCTGTGACACTTGTTTGACTCCAGCTGGAAACCTTTGTTGCATGTCAGTCCCTGTCTCTCTCCTCCTATTTCCAATTATCTCTCCACTGTCTACAAAATGTCCAAGGAATGCTTAAAAAAAAAAGATGGATGGCATTTGATTCAAACATGAATCTTAAGAATAATTTATTTGGTGTTTTAGCCTTCCACAATTGTTTCTGCAGTTATCTCAGTTGGATTTTTTTTTATCTTACTGTGGGTCGGTGCTTGTAATAAATTGGAAGCAAAGAAGACTGTAAAGATTCTCTGGCCTGGACCTCATAATCCACAGGCAGCTCAGAGTGTTGAGTGTTGAACTGCATCACTTGCCTACATTTTAATGCTTAAGAGAAGTTATTCAGTGAAGTTATACATATCTGAAAGTCATTTTTTGTTATTCATGAGTACTGAATTTTGCATGATAATTTCTCTATCTCTATCACGGTTCAGTACTCATCATTATTGGCAAAACCCTTTGTGGGAAGTCACTGTTCCTTTCTGGGTTTGTATTTTCTCTTCTTGTATTCATTTACGCTGCTGGTCATTCCTGTTAACTAAATCATAAATAAATATAACATTTCTCACAGAAAAAAGGGGAAATCATTGGTCAGTTGAATACTTGACTTGGAAGTTACAAACAAGTCGAGACCTAAATTCCAGAGGCGTCACTCACATGGCATCTTAGCACATTTTTCACAATACTACCATCTGGCCGCAGACAAAGGACACTTACTGCAGATGGAAAAAGGCATGTTTTAGCATAAGTCACCTGCTGTCAGTCACCAGAATTTAATTTCCACACATAGGTCCATGTAGCGTTGATGATGCAAGATGACAGTCACCAAAACGGTCCACCTGTGGACTGTTTAGCCCTCTTGCTTTGTTTGTAATAGTTTAAGCAGTGGTGAACCGGACCAAAACTAAAAGGCAATCATTTATCATTGTTTTCCTTAGTCCCAACAAAGTAAACCAAACAGGTGTGGAAGTCATACAAGGAGCTTTGTCTGCACAGGTTTAGTGATTGTTTCCATTAAGGTCACAGTAATGCTTTCCTGCATCAGATGTTGATTGTTTTATCATGACAAGGTGGTCAAACTTCATGTTCGAAAATACCATCTGTATTATGAATTGCTTCTTATGTCTTATCCGGACTGACTTCTGTGGTGTCTCAAACTGAGCAAATACAACACCCGGCATCTGTATTACTAAACCAGCATGATGTAGCCACTGGCATGTAGAGAACAATAAACCAGAAAATCTCTCTTTGCAGTGGTACAGAGAGTTTTGCTTGATGAAAATAGGTGTTTGTCCTTCAGTTCCTCCAGTGAATAGATTTATTTTTTTAGTATAGCCAGTACAGTAGATGAACACATAGCAATGACAGGTCAGATATATGGGATAAACACTAGGGATGCATGATATGGTTGGATTATTAGCTTGGAATGTTTCAAATTAATAAGTACATCTTCTAATTAAAATGTGACACTTCTGAATGGATGAAGGTAATATTGACAGTAATTCTGTGCATTACTGAAAAAATCTCTACTGTTTGACTGAGAAGGTAAACATTAAAATGTTATATATATGTTATATATAT